ATGTTGCCTTGGCAATAAAGTTGGGGTTTTCAAAATTATTTTATTTGAATTAATATTTTATTTAGTAGTAATGAAAAGTTTTATCATTTTAGTTATAAAATGATAATAGCCATGATACAAATAAGTATTTCCATACTGAATGAATGAACGAACGAAGGAACAAGCAAACGGCAAGGTGATTTTAATTAATTGATTAATTAATTATTAATGTACGTTTTTCAGTGGTGTAGGATGAGAGTCATTCCTATCGAGCTTTGTTTATAAGTATCTCTAATGTATATGATTCCTGATTTCAACGTCAGTCCCTCTTCCTTAATACTGATATCATCTGTTTTTAGCCGTACAATTTCAAACAAATTAGCCTTTGAGGAAAAAGCCCCACAGATCTGTACAGATGATGCATGTTGCCAGAGTTCTGCTGCCAGTAAAGTAAGGCGTGATATAACTCCAATGAGCCCTGGCAGCTGTTTCGAATGCCATCTCTCAGTTTCTCTTTCACTCTCCCTCTCTGTCTCTCTCTCTGACCTACTGCACACTCCTCCCCTTCCACTCAAAGACTTGTACAATAAAATGACAAACTAATTAACTTTAAAAATCAGCTATCTTGTGCTCTCAGGTTGCTGTTGCTAAGTTTTATTCAGTTGGCACTATATGTAACATATAGAAAAGATTACATTTTATGATTTTCATCTATTCCCTAGAAACATTTCATTGCCCAAGTGGAAATATTAAAGGGATAGTCCACCAATAAATGAAAATTCTGTCATCATTTACTCACCCTCATGTTGATCAAAGCATGTATGACTTTATTCTGAGGAACACAAAAGAAGATATTTTGAAGAATTTTGGTAACCAAACAGTTTTGATTCCCTTTGACATCCTTTGTAATTTTTTCCCCTCATACAATTGAAGTCAATGCTAACCGGGATTGTTTAGTTACCGTCATTCTTCAAAATATCTTCTTCTGTGTTCCACAGAAATTATATAGGTTTTGAATGACATGAGTGTGAGTAAATGATGACAGAATCTTCATTTTTGTGTAAACTATCATTTTAACGCTTCCGGCTTCAATCAGTGCTGGTTTTAAAACAACAGTAGCTATATTCACAATTCCCCCTCTGAATTTCTAAATGAGTTTGGCTGCTGTGTGAAAAACAGCAATCTGAGCTGCTCTAAAAGTGAACATATTGCATTAGCATGGGTTAGTCAGTTGCCAGGTAGCCTGAGGCGGTGCCATATATCAGTGAGACTGGCTGCTCGGGCTCCTGGCCTATCCAGCGCTCAGCGTTCCCACCACATCCCTGCTTTGATATTACTTCGCACAGCAGCCCGCATCACGGTAATGGATGTAGACTCATTCATTATCTCCAACAGGCGCTTACACACAGGAGCTGGGTGTAAGAAGAGCCTCTAGTATGGGGACTGAGAATAGCAGACAATTGAATTAGGCTAAGCTCTATATGCGGCCTGTCAAGACAGTAATTGTCCTGTATTAGTGAGGCAAGAGGGTCAAAGGTCATCTCGAGAAGATCTGTGACTGGTGAAGATGTGACTGGTGAAGATGTATGTTTTGGTGGTGTAGCGTTGAAGCGCTGAGATGCTGAAAAAAAGTTTGATGTGCTTTTTGGTCAAGGACATTATGAGAGGTTGTTTATGCATGTGAGTGTATTCCACTGTATACTGTACTGTATGCTAATATATTCCTCCATAGTAAATTGTTTGTTTGTGCCTGAGGCTCTGGACTGTGTAAGTGTGATCTGTATGCAAAGTAACTTCAGCACTTTATTATTATGTATGAAAAGACTATAATCACCTGATGGCAGGAAAGTAAAGTTCAAACATTTTTCACACCAGGTCAGACTATATTTAATTACTAAAACAGAGTCAACAAGAGTTCTTTAATCTGCAAACACTTCCTTGCGGGGGTGTTTTTCAATTTAATTTAATTTGTATTTATTTTATTATTATTATTTGAATGTAATGATTTTAATTCAGTTCAACTTAATTAAAATAAAACAAAACAAAAATAAATTATTTTATTTAATTAAATTTTTCCATCATTTTTGGTGGTCCAAATTGAAATAAATTTGAAATATTTTGACACATGCAATTATCTGTGATTGAGACATTTCTTAGTGAATAAATTACATTAAGTACACATCTGCTCCTGCCACCATTAATATTTGTGGTGCGGTTTTAATAACTAACGATCTGAAAATGTGACAATAAATAATAGTAGTTGAACATCAACTACTGTAGTATTGTACACTGTAAAAAGAAATTTCAGAGTTGTAAAAAACAAGATTTTTGGAGTACGTTATACAAGAAATATAGAATTGCTTATGCTGACCTTTTTAATGAACCTATTTGCCTGTGAACATGCTGATCTTATCTACTATTTCAGTATTTCTGCTTTAGAAATTCACATTTAATTCTGTTATTTCCCTTTCTTTGTAAAAATTTATCACATTTATTAGCAATTTCTTAGTGAAAATTGTTAAATAAAAAATATTTTAATATCAACGTGGAATATGTTATAGTTTTGTTGCTATTGTTTTATTCCATATGTCTTAAAGTGATAGTTTACCTAAAAATGAAAATTCTGTTATCACTCACCCTCCACTTATTCTAAATTTGTATGAGTTTATTTATACTGCTGAACACAAAAGACAATATTTTGAAGAATGCGTGTGACTTCCATAGTATTTTTCAATAACTACCGTCAACCTTTTGGTTACCGACATTATTCAAAATATCTTCTTTTGTGTTCAAGAGTTCAGCGAAACTCATACAGGTTTGAAACAACTTGAGGGTAAGTAAATGAAGACAGAATTTACATTTTTAAGTGAACTATCGCTTTAAAGGAACATGGATGAGGATGTTGTTGAGTTTCAAGGTTAAAGGGATAGTTCACCCAAAAAAGAAAATTCTGTCCTCAAAATATCTTATTTTATGTTCAACATAAGAAAGCAACTCATACAGGTTTGGAACGACATGAGGGTGATTAAACGATGACAGAATTTTCTTTTTTGGGTGAACTATCCCTTTAAGCCTTAAATTATCCAGTACACAGCAGTAGTTATTCAACTGAGAGGTTGTTTAAGGACTTAATCTGTGTATGTTTCACTTTAAGAGGAAGTGTTCTCTCTATAATAACTCTGGATCACCTATGGGATCTATAGAGAGGGTACAGGGCAGAAAACCTCCATAAATTCAGTTCAGCTGGGAAATCAAGACAGTGCTTCCCACTCATTACGTCTCACACTCAGCCGACAGTTTACCCGTTTGTGTTACGGAGTTTCATCAAAGATAACATCTAATGATCAAAGCCAATGATGCTCGTCTGTGTGAATAATGATGCAGAGGAAACGGCTTGTCTTGAGCTGCATCCGGAGGCTCGGGAAGAGCCAGCTTAATCATACAAACGCTCAGTTGATTGTGTGTGTCTGTGTGTTATCTCAAGATACATCCATGGCTCTCTCTAATGCTTTGACGACTGCTACTGTGGAGGATCTCATAAAGAGTTCAATATGCAAATGTTGGGGTGAAATCATAATATTGATCTGATATCTCCCCATGGAACTCATAAAGGGCTCTTTGGAGTCTCATTTAAATGACATGACAGAGTGCTATCCTTGAAGTGCCATGAAGAATTTTTATTTTGAAGGGTGGTTTGATATTAAACTTGCCAGAGATGAGAAACAAAAGCCTTTGTGTTCTCCATGGCAACAAAAATCTGTGGTTTACTTGATTATAATTTAGTGAAAATCTTCTCGTTCCATTACAATTCTTTCAAGGCAGAATTGTATTGATATTCCTTAAAGATTGTGTTTAGATGCATAATCTCAATCCCAAAGTGTTACTGAATTTAATTCTGATAAACAGATTTTATTTTGTAGATGGTTTTAGCTTTTGTGTGATTTCCTTTTTTCTTTTTCTTTTTTTTTTTTTTTGCTGAAAATGTTATACTTTAATTCAGATAAACAGATTTTGTTTTGTAGATAGTTTTGGCTTTTGTGAATTTTTTTATTTTATTTTATACTTTACAAGAATCGTTAAGATCAAAATTCTGAACTTTCACTGATATAATGAAACATGAAAATCATTTTGTTTAGCAGTATTTTGTCTTGTTTTCCTGTAAAATATCTAAACATCCTTGAAGCAAAATTACTTTTCAGATGTAACTAATAAAATTAGAACTTTTAGTGAGGTTTATGCTTAAAACATTTTGCTAATGTAATAAAATGTATGTATTAATTAGAGATATACCTCTTGAATCTTAATAATTTAATCTTATTTTACACAAATTATTTTACTGGTACACAAGACAAAAATAGTATTTGAGAAAATATAGTCAGTCCAAAATATTCCATTACGAGTGTCATCCTTACAGTAAATTCACAAAATTTACACATTGTTATTATCTTATTGGAAATATGTGACTGGAAAAATCTTGAAATTAAACATTATTTTACACTAATTTTAACCCATTTAAAGCTCTTATTTTATTTGCTATAAGTTAAAATATTTATAAGTTTAACAGGAAAATCTAAATCCTTGCCTATTGCATGCTCCCTGCCTTTTTTTAACAAATTCTGGGTGGTCTGAAATATGATTAATTTATTATCTCCCATGCATTTTACCAAGGGCAACATCTGCCTGTCTGTAAATGCACTTTATATTTGTTTAGTCGTGTTTGTTTACAAGTCTGTCTTTTGTCTGTGAGCCTTTAAAGAGTGTGTCAGGAAGAATCCTCTGCTCGTTCTCTCTCACTCCGTGTGTTTGAAGTGCCTGCGCCTTCAACCCTCTCTTTCTGTCTTCATCTCGGGTAATAAACACGCAACTACTTCTAATGAGAACCATAAAGCCTCTCCCATTTTATTCTTCTCTTGCTCAAATTAGGTAGCGGTATATTTTCTGGCTTTGTGAACGTCCCTGTTGGTGCTCTTGCTAAATTTAATAACCTCAGTTCTGTTTCTCTTTATCCCTGTCAAGCTGGTGTGGAGTTTTGTAACAAAAGGATTCCTGTGTGCACTGGAATATATCAGCCGAAAATGAGGAACTGTTGAGCGTGAGTATGATTTCATGTGTTCTCCAAATATTGTGTGTTGCTTTGTGGAAATCTGCCTGGTAACTGCTAATGCTGTTTGTTTGGTATCGTTCAGATTAACCTCATTCTTGACCTGATTGTAATATGCATAATAATAATTTAATTAGATGGGACATTGTTTAATATGCTCCCTGTTGTTTGGTGTGTTATTGTGGACAACATGAAAGGACACAAAGTTGTTCGTGAGAAGCCACAGACAGATGGGGTAGCTCACACATCTACGCTCACACACACTCATTTCTTGTCAAGGAAAACACAGTCTGTTTATTAGATGAGGACAGGAGGATTAGGCTTTCACCTGGTTCTTGGTTGATATTCTGCTGCTCCTAAACATGCTATATATTTTTAAATCAGTCATTTTATCTTGTTTTTCAAAAAATATTTCCAAGCATTTACATTAAAGGGATAGTTCACCCAAAAATGAAAATTATGTTATTAATTACTCACCCTCATGCCGTTCCAAACTTGTAAGACGTGCTTAGAAATTTGACACGGAAAGAAGAAATTGTTGAATAAAGTTATTTTTGTTTTCTTTGTGCACAAAAAGTATTCTCGTAGCTTCATAAAATTAAGGTTGAAACACTGATGTCACATGGACTGTTTTAACTTGAATACTCTTTACTACCTTTCTGGGCCTTGAACATGGTAGATCCGTTGCTGTCGATGCAGGGTCAGAAAGCTCTCAGCTTTCATCAATAATATCTTAATTTGTTTTCCAAAGATGAACGAAAGTCTTATGGGTTTGGAACAACATGAGGATGAGAAATTAATGACAGATTTTCATTTTTGGGTGAATTATCCCTTTAAATTAGTTGACTTGAGAATATACCTTAAAAGAGTCCAACATCTTATAGAAATCTTTCAAGTTGGTTTCATATGGTTTTGAAAACCTGTAGACCATTTTTAAGAAAAATTACAGTTTCGGTTTAAATCATTACATTTTAATAAAAGTAATAACATTTTTCTTGGAACATGTGAGTGCACCCATCTAAATCAATATTTAAAAAATAAGTATATTTCACAAGATAAAAAGTGTTTTAAAAAATGTAATAAGCAGTGAAGCAGTTTTAAAATATTTTTCTTTGAGAAATGAAAATACTTTTAATGATTCTCATATCAGGACTGTTGTACCACCCTAATATATATATATATATATATATATATATATATATATATACACATTTTTTACTTAATGCCTGGACAAAGTATTAAAATCCATTTTAATACATAAAACCATGCACAAAGTCATTGATTTACAATATAAATTTGACTTTTTTTATATAAATTAGCAGAATAAGTGAGCCTCATGTAATTTACACTTTACACAGTTTTGCTCCTCAAGTAAAAATTGCATCTTGTATTAAGGTTATTTAGATAGTTTTACCAGAAATCAACAACAACCTATTATTACAATCCAGATGTTCACAAATGATCTCCAGTTGTCGTAGCTTTAGCTAGCAGCTAAACGCAGTGCTTTCAGACAAATAGCAGGTGCAGTTATATTGAGTATGGAGGAACCATGAGCCACCCTTGGGTTTCTCCCAAGGCTGTGGCTCCTGTGAATGAACTGTCCTGCACAGGACTATCATCTGATACTGCGGCTCCAGCGCTCCACACACAGTCTGCAGGTTCACTGGATGAGAGTCATGGCTGTTAAGTTATCTAGGAGTGCTCTGCAGAGGACTAATCTGACACACACTGATAAGGGCTTCTGGAGTGCTGCAGCCCAGCTGCTTTCATTAGGACAAAACCGTTTGCTGCACAGGAACACCAGTTAAATGGAGGCAGTGACACGGCCTAATTTAATCACACTCATGTGCTGCATGAATGTTCAATCTACAGCTGCCATAACGCAAGCAAAACAATCTTTCCACTGCGTAGTGGGTCTGCAGTGTTTGATAAGTTGTGATTTGATTTTAAACACTTATTTAGTTTTCAATTTTTCTCTTCTAAAGTGTTTTTGAAATCTATGGGAATAGATGCTGAAATATGGAAGAGCATATGAATCTAAATTTGTATATTCAGTGCGGTTGTAACAGCATGTACCCTATGCTAAAAGGAACATTGGAAATGAGAGGTTGTTAAACTTACAACCATCCATTGTCTAGATCATCCATATATTTTAATAAACATTAGAATCCCACGCGGAGTGACACATAATGATGGGAACCCTTTGAAATAAATGCGGCATCTAAAAAGAAACATCATTTAGTCCACAACAGCGTCTGAGTATAAGTCGATCTGAAGAGCAGTACTTGATGACTAATCTGGAATGACGTCCATTGACTGCGAGGTGACAGTCATGACCCGAAGGAGATATGACGCCACATTTTTTCTGACATTTTTTAAATTAATTAATTCATATTTTTTTTGTTCCTGAGGGAGAACAGAGGACTAAAATGTTACTGTTTTCTTGATCTGAAATTAGTATTGTTCTTTTCTTTAAGGTCATGACAGTATGAGTTATACAACTAAGTTAAACAGCTACAACAAGGACATATGAATGTAAAATTTAGGTGGGGCATAGTGTTAACTTTTTCAACTTGGCTCATGAATATCAATTATGATATGTAACATGCCTAGTAGTCCTAACTGTTTTTTAGAGAAGAATTCCTCGTAACTATAGTAGGATTTAACTGATATGCTTCTACTCATTTACTTTCATCATTTACTCACCTTTGAGTTGTTCCAAACCTGTATGAGGTTTTTGTAAAAAAAAAATTATTATTATTTTTTTTAAATAATTAATAATATAATATTTTTCAAAAGTATTAACTTTAATTTATTTGTTTGTTTGTTTATTTTAGATAATGCTAAAACTTACAATGGTTGCTTGTTCATTGCATTTCCATTTTCCAGTATGTTTTTTTTTAATGGTTTTATTTTCATAAAGGTTGAAGAGAAAGGTCTCTGTAAATAAAACACCTATAAGTTCAGTGATAGAGCTGCCTGAAATTGCTGGGCATTTTCTAAAAAATAGGCCATGTTGTGCCATTCATGTGTGCTCTTGCCCGTCTTTTGTGAGCGAGAGCAAAACGAGCCGTTTTTGGCACCAGCGAGCATGTCACAGCAGAAAGTGAAACACGTGGTGGGAGATGCACTTTCTCAGAATGGTGCACTGTGTTGCCCGTGGCGAGAGCTCTGCTCATTAAATTTTCAGTTTAATATCTCCATATTTCCCCTCTTTTCCCATGTTCTGCTCCCCATTTAAAACAGCTTTATCTGATGAGAGCATGAGCTGAAAAAGTTTTGCCAGTTTTTGTTAGTGACACAACCTGAATCACACAGGAGCGATAATGGAAGTGAGACACATTTGTGACCCTCATTTTTAAAACGGCAGCAATGCAATGATGGGGATATGATGCTCACGCTGAGCACAGATGACGCATTGTAGTACAAATCCCACTACTGCATCAAAATGACAGATGATTCAGTCATTATTGATTCCAACTCTTGAAGAAGAAAATTACTGTACACTCAAATATAGAATTAACATGTGCTGTCATTGACTTCCATCTTTTTTCGTGTCTCTTTTTAACTTTTAAATTTTGATTTACTTTTTTTTATTATTTCATATTATGTAAATGCATTAGAAGGTGATTAGCCTTTCTTGTTGGATCTGAGAACTTTACGTCATGTAAAGCATGACATTATGAGGTGTATGTAGTGCATGTAACTCCAGGATATACTGTTGATACACTTAATGGTGATTATAGATATCTTCATGCTAACATTTCTCTTCAGGCAGTAGTTATTCAACATGCTTTCAGCACAGAATGACTACAAAACCCCATCAGCTGCCTCCAGGTAGGCAAATGAATTGTCCTAAGATACCGTGCTTTGGCCATATTCAAAGGCAGCATCGCATGTATCCTAAATGGAGATGGCAATTCCAGAATGCAATAAGTTAAGCAATTTAAGATGGATATGAGAGAGAAAATACTAAAATAGTGATTAAAATTGTTTAAAATAATTGAAAACCCTAAATTTGTGTGTACTTCACTACTATTCCAGATTTGGTGTATATATAACTGTCATTTAAAGGAACTTTCATTAAGCAAGGATGCATTAAATTCATGAAAACTGATAGTAAAGACATTTATGATGCTACAGAAGATTTCTATTTAAAATCAATGTTGTTCTTTTGAACTTTCTAATCATCATAGAATGTTATGATTTCGACCAAAATATTAGGGAGCACAACTGTTTTCAACATCAAGTAACGATTCACTTAACTCATGATGTGATACGATTCATGATACTGATTTCTCGATACGATTGTCTTACTTTTTTTAAACAAAATTAGATGTATGCCAAAAAATTTTTTAAAAGGTGTCACTGTCATTTTATTTTGTCTGCTTGGACAAAATGTTGCATATTTCTTTGTGAAATTTAAATATGTCATATAACAAAACTAAATTGAAATTTTAAAACAAACCCCAAAACAAATAAATAAATAACACAAATAAAATAAATCTCTTTATATAACCAAACTAAGGCTTTGCATGTGTTCTTTACATTTAAACTTAGAGGCAGCCACTGGATTTTAATCAAAATCCAAACAAAGATGCAGCATGAGCAGTTTTTAATCTAAATTAGATTTCAAAATTGGAGCAAACACAGAATGGCCTGACTTTAGTTTTGTAAAACTATGCTACATTAAACATATCTGCACGAAACAAAAACAGCAGACAGGCTGAATGAGAACTGCAAATTCACTCTCTGCCAGCGGGTGGCGCTTATGGAACATAAGGATTTCTGAAGGATCATGGGACACTGAAGACTAGAGTAGTGACTGCTGAAAATTAAACTTTTTCAATGTAGGAAAATTACATTTTAAAATATATTCCAGTAGAAACAGTTATTTTACATCACAATGTATTTCACAATATTACTGTTTTACTGTATTTTTAATAAATGCAGCCTTGGTGAGCATAACAAACTTCTATCAAAAACTTAAT